GGAGCCCGATGCGGGACTCGATCCTGGGATTCCAGGATCATGACCTGAGCTGAAGGCAGTCGCTTAACCAACTGAGCCACCCAGGTGCCCCAACTGCAGGTCATTTTTAAGGTTTGTATTGAACTTGGCCTGAAGACCTTTGGTATTACACTCCAGGCTTGTCCAAATGCTTCTGGGGCACTGCAGCAGGGATCTGGGCCTCAGAGTAAAATAATCATGCCGTCAGGTTCCAGTTCTGCCAGTTAGCAAATTAACCTTTCAGCTGATTGCCCACCTATAAAATATTTATCCTTGAGCAGTATTGGATTTCTTATTAGCACCAGAGAGCTTGCCCTTTATTGATCACACAAAATTATTCATTTAGATCATCCCTTTCCTCAGGGAGCCAATCCAAGTAATCTTGAACCTCTTTTGATACAAATGACTACCTTTGATCCACAACTGTAGTAAGGCTCAAAGTAGTTTCAGGGTCACCATCCTAGAACCCCCCTCCAGACCACTAATGAGAAATGTCAGAGATGGAGGTTCTGACATAGCAGAGGTTTTAAAATACACCTTTATATCCTAAAATCGTGAATTGAATCCAAGTGTATAAAGTTAACATCAGTGATCCGTCACTCATAGCAAGTCATAGAACTCCAGCTGCTGTGAAGCATTAGTAATAAAAAGCCACCAGAAAGTTTAAAAAAAAAAAGGGGGGAAATCAGAAATTTCAAGTATGTTCAAGACAATTCCACCCTTGGGCACAGTAAAATGGCCCTTGCCTAGGTAAGAATGTTTACCTTTCCTGCCCTTAAGATTTATTAATTTGACACAGAGAAAGAGAGGCAGAGTGGGTGTGCCAGCACAAGCAGGGGGAGGGGCAGAGGGAGAGGGAGAAGCAGACTCTGCTGAACAGGGAGCCTGATGTGGGGCTCGATCCCAGGACCTCTGGATTACAACCCGAGCCAAAGGCAGACGCCCAACTGAGTCACCCAGGCGCCCCTTGTTTTTTTTTTTTTTATGTTGTGGGGGGGTGTGGGGAAGGGGCAGAGGGACAGGGAGAGTCTCAAGCAGACTCCATGCTCAGCACGGAGCCGATGGGGGGGCTCGATCTCATGACCTGAGATCACAACCTGACCCCAAACCAAGTCAATTGCTTAGCCAACCGCACCACCCAGGTACCCCTCTGCCCCCCCTTTAAGATTTGAGAGAGGAGGAAAAGGGGGGAAGAGGGGGGTGAGAAACAGAGGGAGATGGACAAGCCGACCCCACAACATGGAGATCATGACCTGGGCAGAAAGCAAGAGTCAGATGCTCAACCAAGTCACCCAGGTGTCCCCCACCCATTTCTTAAATTAGATTAACTGTTAGGCAAGTTCTCTGAAAGTATTAAATAAAAACCCCAACCCCCTCCACACAAGTGAGACTCTAACCCTGAAGCAATGGACTTAATTAGAAGCTTATCACAAAAATTAGACCAGTGTAAATAACAAACATTTATTGGTGTCACTTATGGTAGAAAAAGTTCCTACACCAGATGCGCATGACCCAATTGTTAAATAGAACATTTCCAAGGTGAACACACACCCTAACCCAGCTTTTTTCCCCACTTTTTAAGATAGCCAATTCTTCCTTTCCCCCCACCCCAAGACATGTGAGCAACTGCTAATGAAAAGCAGTAAACAGCCACTTGGGCTATAGCATCTTCAACTCCACTCCAAGGTGAAGATTCCAATTACATTCGAGACTTAAGTTCTCTCAATTTTCTCCTAACGAAAGTTCCTGAGTCCAGTATTTACAATATTACAGCACTAGCAGAGCAATGTCTACAACTCATCTTTGTCTGCTGGTTCCTCATCACCAGTTGGGGGAGGGCCTGCACTTCCATAGAGTTTGCTGATAATTGGCTGAACAATTTCTTCTAGTTCCTTCTTTTTAGCTTTGAAATCTTCAATGTCAGCATCTTGGTGACTTTCTAGCCATTCAATCTTTTCCTCTACGGCTTTTTCCATGGTCTCCTTATCTTCAGAGGAGAGTTTACCTCCCAGCTTTTCTTTATCTCCAATCTGATTCTTTAGAGAATAGGCATAGCTTTCCAATTCATTTCTGGTATCAATGCGCTCCTTGAGCTTTTTGTCTTCCTCGGCAAACTTCTCAGCATCATTAACCATCCTTTCAATTTCTTCAGGTGTCAGGCGATTTTGGTCATTGGTAATTGTAATCTTATTTTTGTTGCCTGTACCTTTGTCTTCAGCTGTCACTCTAAGAATGCCATTCACATCTATCTCAAAGGTGACTTCAATCTGTGGGACCCCACGGGGAGCAGGAGGAATTCCAGTCAGGTCAAAAGTTCCCAGAAGGTGATTGTCTTTTGTCAGGGGTCGTTCACCTAAAAGTTACACCAAAAAAATAACTTGTTAGTTGTTACTGACAACCATTAGTGCATCTGGATCCTTACACTTCAGTCTGTTGGAGCCTACTGTGGCAAGGGCATACTTATCAAGCTAGAAGTGGGTCAGTATTGATCTATAAGGAGTAGCAAGTGGGACTGTGTTAAGTTACTACTTTTAATTGAATTTCTTCTCTACAGCATTATGAACTCTTTTCTAGGAGCCAGCTCAGAAGTTTTTTTTTTTTTTTTTAGGTTTTTTTTTTAAATTTTTTGACAGAGAGAGATAGTGAGAGCAGGAACACAAGCTGGGGGAGTGGCAGGCAGAGGGAGAAGCAGACCCCACTGAGCAGGGAGCGCGATGCGGGGCTCGATCCCAGGGTCCTGGGATCATGACCTGAGCCGAAGGCAGACGCTTAATGACTGAGCCACCCAGGCGCCCCTCAGAAGTTATTTTTTTTTTTTTTAAGATTTTTTATTTATTTATTTGAGAGAGAGAATGAGAGATAGAGAGCACGAGAGGGAAGAGGGTCAGAGGGAGAAGCAGACTCCCTGCCGAGCAGGGAGCCCGATGCGGGACTCGATCCCGGGACTCCAGGACTGCCGAAGGCAGTCGCTCAACCAACTGAGCCACCCAGGCGCCCCAGAAGTTATTTTTAAAGGCAAAGAGTTCCAGGTAGCTAAGTAAGAACTAGATTTTCGGGTTGACTTTACCAAACTCAACAGTAGTCTTATTGGGGACCCCGTCTGAAAAGAGGTATTTCTAGCCCTTCTCATTTCAAAAGACTATATGAAGAAGTCATGCTTCTCAAAAACATAGTGTGTCACTCACAAATGTAGGGTATTACCTTCATAGACCTTGATTGTAACGGTTGGTTGGTTATCAGAAGCTGTAGAAAAGATCTGAGACTTCTTGGTGGGCACCACAGTGTTCCTTGGAATTAGTTTGGTCATGACACCTCCCACAGTTTCAATACCA